AAGATCTCCGAAAATTACAGCAAAGAACAGAAAACTCTAGAGAAGTGAATTTCTCTTAATCTTTGTTCTCGAAGAAAGGAAAACTTACTTTGGATAGAGCTACGTCCCTCCTCCAGGGGATAGAAGTGGCAGCAGAGGAGGCCCCGGTGATTCACCTGTGATGATCGCCGAGCCACAGCTGCGGGAACATGTGTGCCAGCATTTGTCGGCCAGGAACCACCGCCGACAGCTGTTCAGTCAGTTCCGTGCACTTGTTCGCAGGGGTTGGTGTCCCTCCCCTGTGGTGACGAAAAGGGGGTCCATTTCGGGTGGTTTGTGATGTGACCGGAAGTGACGATCGAGAAGCGTTGGGATTTGGTGTTGTTCCAGTGGTGATGTGATGAGAAGTGACTGAGATGAAGGCAAAAGAGGGAATTGATTCATCTCGTTATCTTCCATATTTCTTTCTTAGGTTTTCATCATTGTTCAGCGTGATGTAGATCAAAGGACGCTAAATAGATGAAGGTACTTATGCACAAAGATAGCATTTTGGAAAATGTATAGGAGAAGAAAGTATCCTTATTTTCTATATCTTAAAGGGAAATAAACAAGCACTTACCAGGCTAACATGACTCTAACATAACAGACGCATTGGAAGCGAGAGCAGAATGCAGCACCCACGTCAAGGGGAGGAGGCCCTGCCCCTCACTCTCCCTCCGACCCAGCCCAAGTGCAACCACTGCCACCTTCCCTTAAGTAAGGCCAGAAGCTCGGCAGCGCATCAACTCACTCGAGGACGAGACGAATCGCCAGAGGAGAGAGCGGAACGAGAAAGGGCAGACGCACACGAGGTGAAGCTGAGACTCCGGCCCAGGCGATCCTCCCTGACGATCACTTGCCAGAAGGAATTTAGTAACTTGTGTTCGCCCGCCTTGAGTGGCAGCAGCGACGCTCTCAGGAGGATCAGCATGACGTCCTCGTCCGATCCTGAAGAGGATTACGCCGAGAAGCTGAATTTCTCGGCCTGGAAAAGCGTCAGTCACGACCTGGACAAGACGCCGCAGTACCTCCCAATGAACGTCAAAGAAAAGCCGCCTCTCTCATCATGGAAGAGCTGCTCGGCTCTTCAGGGAGAGAGAGAGCGAAAGCCAGACACCTTTGACCGAGCCACAAACCCTCGCCAGAGCTGGTCGTCGACCTACGAACGACGAAAGTCCGTGAGCTTCGACCTGCCAACGGTACAGCAGATCATGACCTACCCCCCTGAGGCCTGCTGTCCAAAGTGTCAAAAGGGACCTCGAAAGCCCAAGAGTCTGGGAAGCATGAACAAAGCCCTGAAGAAGTCCTGGAACAAAGGTATTGGAAAACTCCACATGCCCAAAAATAGTTCAGCAAAGGAAAAGCCTGAGAAACCAGAAATAAAGCCACAGAATTTATCGCCCCTTCCTTTCACGCGAAAAAAGAACGTCGTGAAGCCAATCCCACCACCTAAGAAGCCTCTCACGGAATCCCTAAGTGCTTCCCCAATGACCTTCCTCAGAAAGAAGAAAGTAGAGTTAGAAAATGCGTCTTCGGTCCGATCCAGCACAGGGAGTCACCTCTCCGAACACCTTGGCAAGCTGAGTAATTTTAAGGTCAACTTCCAAAGGCTGAGACATCCTGCTCCTTTTGAACCAACACTGACAGGATTCGCCAAAGACGCCAGTGAATTCTCGTACTCATCTAAGAACAAGAAGGCAGAAGGAGATTCTGTCTCTATCACAAGTTTCACGAGTATCGAGTCCTCTGCCTCTGCGGTCAAGAAAATGAAGAAAAATAAGCTAGGAGGCAAAAAGCTTTACAAGATGCCAGGCGTTAGTGAGCAGGAAGTGAAACTGCGGCCTCCAGTGAAACCCAAATCCTCTGGCCCCTTAAAGGCTTTCAAAACTGCAATTGGAAAAAAGTCCAAAAGCACAATGGATTTGAGTGCTTTGGACAGAAACCCGGACAACGCCCTCTCGAGGAGCTACGACGATATTCTCAAGGAAAATAATTTCCCAACTCAAGAGGAGTTCATGGTTGATGTGAGGATGCTGACGCTCAGCCACGACTACATAGAACCTGGAGACTTTGATGATGATGATGACTACTATCCATATGTGCCGCGGCGGAGGTCCTTGGCGGAGCCTGAGACGAGAAGCCTCACAGGTAAGGACTCGACTTCAAAGGGGAGTTCTTCTTCACTGATGTCCAAAATGGAAGAACCCAAGAGACCAGTTCCTGAGAAAAGGGAAAACCCCCCAGCAAAGATCTGCAGAGAAGAAAGGGCCGAAAAGCAAGCTGAGGAGATAGCAAAGGTTGAGGAACTAGGGAACCAAAATACCGAAGGCGGTAGCGAGAATGTGAGTGAACCTCCTAACAAGAGTCCGTTGTCCAAACGAGGATCTGTCCACGACATCATCCTCAAATACGAGACACTGGAGAGGTGCAAAAGCCATGAGAAAATTACCCCACCCTCACAGATCAAGCCTCCAATTCCCCCCAGGCCTCGAAAGATATCCAAGACCCACAGCATTGATGGCTTGACGGCAACAGCAGCGAGACCCATACAGAGAAAGCACAAGGGCCACTCCTCAGCTGAAGACGCTTCCTGGTTCGACCGAGAACTGGCAAGTCTCAGTGACAGTGCGACACCCTCTTGGAAAGACTCCTCTTGGAGAGACTCGGCTCCTTGGGCTCAAGACTACAATACAAGGATAAAAAATAAGGGGAAGAAGCCTATGGCAACTCCGAGATCGTCCCTGATGCCGTCGAAAGAGGGACAAATGCCTGATGAAGAACAAAGGACAAAAGGTGAGTGTCTGGCCACAGGTGGATCACAAGAAAACGAAGACGAGAAAGTGCAAAGTGAAAAAGGAAATGTGGTTCGTGAAATGGACATACCTTGCGTGATTGTAACTTCGGAAGTCGATGACATCGACGAAAACGACAAGCAAGAGAAGCAGAGTGATGACGCTGAGCAGGGGAAATCGAGTCCCATTCCGATTCAACTTGCGGATCTAAAGGAATACCCAAAAGAGGTAAGTTCAAGGAAGTCCTCAGCTGAAGAAAAGTATCCCGTAAAACACACTCTGAGTTCAAGTTCAACAGAGGAGCAAGGTTTCCTCTCCTCTCTTCACCGCCTTGTGATGAAGACGCCGAGCTTGAGCTCAGGTGACGACCAGCCAAGCCTCAAGCAGAGGATTGTCAAGCGGCTTTCCAGTGTGAGTTCCGCAGAGGATCGCGAAGCATTAGAGAGATCCTTGGGGAAGTCTTCGCCGCGAGGATCTGGCAAGAAGATCCCCCCGAAGCGACCTCCTCCGCCGAAGCTTCCTCTCGAGAAACTCAACAGCTACAACCAATATCTCTACATCGACCACACGAAAGTGCCCGAGACGCCGCCTCCGCCGAAACCGCCACGGCTCTTTCAGATCCTGTCCGGCTACAGGAAGCCCCCGGAGTCCCCCTTCCTCTCCAGCGTTCACAACTACCGCCGCTTCTCCCTCGTGGATAGCGACTGCGAGATCATCCGCTCGGGAATCTACGCTAAGCAGCAGCAGTCCGACGAGATCAGCCATCCCGACTCGGCCACGGACGGAGAGACCGACGGCGGCGAGACCTACACCAAGTACCGTCTGGGGGAGACCACCGACGACGAGTCCCTGTGCGACTTCGCGGTGGCCCCCGAGCAAGACGACGCGCTGGAGATGCCGCCAGAGTCCCCGCAGCCGCGCGAAACGGACTCCCCAGCGAGGTCTGACGATGAGAACAACGACAATGATCCCTATGACGAAGGTGAGAAGGGCCAGGGGAAGGTTGTGTCGCCCTTCCCCTACTTTGCGTCGGCGCCGTGTGACATGGCATCTCCTCAGAGCGAGTACGATAATGTCGGGCACGACCAGCAGAGTTGGGCGACTAGTAAATCGGAGGCAAGATGCATTGAGGTGATTCTGGGACCAGAGTCCAGCCAGAATGAGCAGCAGAGTGACAAGAAGGATGCTAATAAGGGAACAGGCGATTGCATAAATTACCCTGACCATGCTGACATCGTAACGAAGTTGAGCCAAAGGAGACGTCGTTCCGAGAGCGAAAGCTCCAACAGAAGCTTTCGTGAAGAGCGCCGAAATTCAAGGCTCTTGGACGCGACGGCCTCGGGGTCTTCGACGCCGGCGAGGGAAGCTTCCAAGTCTCCTTCGCCTGTCCCGGCGCCGCGGTCCCGCCCAGTGCCGTCGCCCAGGTCCTCCAAGCCGTCTTCGGCGCCGTCGTCACGCCCGACTTCAGCCATGTCGACCACGGACCGCCCCCTCCTGGCGATGTTCTTCGAAAAGCTCTTGGAGAACCATGCGAACCAGGGAGAGAGCGCGAGGCTCAGCATATCGGCGAACGACCTCGACAACTCGCAGGCCAAAGCAGAGTCGCCGCGCGGAGCTCCGAACGCATCGAAATCCGAGAACGACATTCTCGGCGACGCCGCTCGGAGCGAGGCCGCCAGGGACCACAGGAAGGACCCCGAGAGGAGTACCTCGTCCCCGGCAACCTCCGCGACGTGCAGCGACGTGAGTTCGCTGTGCGAGTCGCCGAAGTGCTTCAGCAAGAGCTTCGTGGGTAAACGGCCCACGGTAGACCACGGGCGCCTCGAGACGCGGCGCTGCGTCTCCGAGAACGAGCTTCTGGAGGCGATGTCGAAGAGCGCCCGCGCCTCGCCCACGTCGTCCAACGCCAGCGCGCCCGCACGGCCGCACCCTCGGCCGCGGCAGAGACCCGCGCTCACCAGGAGCAACGCCGTCATCTCCTCCAGCGACGAGGACTTCCAGGAGAGCTCGCAGGACGCGGACGCGGTGGTGGTGGTGCCGGGAGGGCGCAAGCCTCCTGCGAGAGGCGTGTGGGTGCGGAGGGCGTCGGACTCCCTCCTGACGGGGGCCAGACACCTCGACGACACGGGGGGGAAGAAACACTCCTTGACCGAAACCGGTTACTCAGGGGACTCCGAAGACGATGAGGAG